CTCAGTCCTACAACCACAAGGAACTTAATTCTGCCACAGCCATGGGAGCTGAGAAGAGGACCCCAAGCTCTGGACGAGAAGGCACAAAATGATTTTTCACTAATCGATGCCAACCCTATCTCGATCCTTTCACACAGCAGAGGTATGGTCTACTTTCGCCAGCTCTTAAAATACCTCTCCTTTCTTTTCTCCATACTCTCTATACCAGGCCTTCCAGATCAAAGTCTGTAACAATACTCTTATCTGCCAAATTATAAAGGGAAAAAATTATACAGTCAGAATAAGAAAAATAAACTTTTCATCTGGCAGATTTCCCTTCCACTGTAAATAGTCAAGACAGCCAAATATTTTCAGTGTATCCCTGAGAAAAGTGTAAGTAATTCTCAGACCAAAAGGCTGAGTGCAGGCAAGTACCCGGAGAGGAAAGGAAGTGACTGCAGAGAGCTTTCTCCGTGCTTGAGACCGTACACTAAAGCAGAGGGACTGAATCCGAAGGGGACCAGCAGGTAAAGCCCGGGCCCAGACAAGGCAAAGAATCTAATACGATGTTCACATACGTCCCCACAAAAACCGAGACCCCAAGGTGAAGACAAACCAAACAGAACCCCCTCAAGAGAAACGCTAGGAAAACCGCCTGTCTTAAATAGAAGTTCCAAGAAGGAAGAACTGGTCACCACTGAGAACTGGTTATCATGATGGTTTACAGCTCAAATCCATTCTCTGGTTTCTAAAATATAAAACACATATCCAGAATTTACTTAATTAAGCCACACTGGTGATGGCCTCAGGCATCTAACAGAAGCACGTGACTCCTTTCTGGGAGGGCTCGCCTTCATACCAGACCCCGAAGAAGGGGATACATGTAAAATTACAGGGAAAATTAACAGCTTGCAGTCAACCATAACTGAACACATACGGAAGTAGAAGGCAGCAAAGAGCACACACAGAAATGGAAGGGCTTTAGATACTGGAATGATCAGATACAGATGATAAATAAACTATGTCTTAAGAAATAAGATAAGCTTAAAATATGTGCAGGGAGAAAGAAGGAAGAGGGAGAGGGAGGCAAGGAGGAAGAAAAGGAAAAAGGGAGAGGGAAGCAAAACTATAAAAGAAGCAAAAGAACTTCTATAGAAATAACAACTAAACTACCGGAAAATAAAAATGTCAATAGGTGAGGTTCTGGTTCCGGTAATAGCAGAGAATCAAACTCATCCTACAGACAATATATTAATAAACTCTAATAACAAAATGTAAAAAACAACTATTGGATGGTACTAGAGATAGGGAATCTCAGAAAATAAATTAAAACAATAAAAAGAAGAACTCAGTGGAAATTTTAGAACTAAAAGGTATAATACACAAACTGAAAAAAAAAAATCTTTGGTGGGCCCACTAACAGATTGGAGACGAATGAAGAATAGTGAACAGGCCTTTTTGGAGAAACCGACAGTGATTCTGAAACATAGGTGGTTATTGTAAAACCTTGCAGAACACACACGGAGGACTCTGATTTCAATACAAAGCTACAATACCCAAGACAGCATGGTATATCATAAGCCTTGACAAAGAGGTCACTGAACAGAACAGATAGTTTGGAAATAGACTCACACGTATGTGGTCAAGTCATTTTGAATAAAGATGCCAAAGCAACTGAATGGAGAAAGGAAATTGTTCAATCAATGGTGCAATTGTACTGGGAACAAAACCAAGCCCGACCCAACATCCCAGTGCCGGGACTGGCAAGCAGCGTGCCCAACCCCCAGGCCTCCCGACTGCCCGCTATGGAAAGCCTCAGGTGCAGCCTGGCCCACCAACAGGAACTGTAAGAGCTAAGCTCTACAGATCTCTTCTCTTATCTCAATTTTTGCCAGAAAAAATATTTCCCCCAAACCTCCCAGGACCATCTACCATGATCCAAATTCCTTCCCAGACTGCTCTGCTCATCTCACAACTTGATCCAACATCCCGCCCTTCCCCTTCCCCACCCGCCTCCCCTGGGTCTCTGTCATTTGCTCCAAGAGCTGCCACTCACTCACACACCTCCTCCTAGTCTCACACTCAGGCTGCCTCCAGCTGCCCTGACACCTGGCTCCCTGGGGGCTCTGTCACTCAGAAAGGCTGACACCAGATGGCTCAGGCTTGGCGATGGGAGTACAAACTTCTTTGGTCCTCCCCACCCCCCCTGCCATGCGGCCTCCAGAGAGTTCTCTCCCACTCTTAGGGAACACTGACCTCCATCCTGGGGAGCATGCCTGCTGAGTGTACTACCCTCTGCTTTCGTCATCATTCTGGCCACGCCCCCTACCTCAACAGGGAAGGCTCAAGGGTGCTGTTTGCTGGCCCTTCCTCATCAAAGCACCTACAAGCTGGCATTCCTGAGCTCGGGCCCTGGCCTCTCTCTTAGGCTTGTTTCTCGGTGGCAGCAGCACTGGCATCGGGGGCTGAACAGTTCTTTGCTGGGAGGAGGGGCTGTCCTGCCCACTGCGGGAAGGACAGCGGCAGCCCTGGCCTCTGCCCACAGGATGCCAGCCGCGGCCCCGTGGACAACCACTGCCTGGGGACATTACAGTCTCAGGCCCTCAACCATCTCTCCTTAGACCCAGCTTCCCATCTGACATCTCTCAGAAGTTTCACCAGCAATCAGCCTGTCCCCAGTTTGATTTCTTTTTTTCTTTTTTTAAAAATATTTTTACTGATTTCAGAAAGGAAGGGAGAGGTTGAGAAAGATAAAAACATCAATGATGAGAATCATTGATCGGCTGCCTCCTGCATGCCCCACACTGAGGATGGAGCCCACAACCTGGGCACTGAACTGTGACCTCATGGTCGACACTCAACCACTGAGCCACGATGGCCGGGCCCCAGTTGGATTTCTGTTTTGAAATTGGCTTTCCTCTCTGAACTATGAACACAAACTGGTCGCACTGGCAGAGATCCTGGCTTATTCCGAGTTCAGACACGTCACGCCCCACAGAATCTAACCTTCAACTAGAACAAACTGGGAAGAGGAAAATATTGCCACAAACAGAAAGCAATTAAAAAGTCCATGAATGTATTTCAAAACATGACCTTGCCTAGAAAATCCAGTTCCTTTGGGTGTGTCTTCCTTCAAGAGGCTCTTTCAAGAAATAACCGGTACCTACTAGCACCAAACAGCGAGGCTTTCTTTGACTTTCTGATTTACTGTGGAATCCTACCCCTTTGTGGAAGCAGGTATGCAAAGTTACACCCAATGTTTAGACAGATAACTTGCTAATAAGTAGGACATATAATCAAGGAAAAGAAAAAAATAATTTTGGAAATCTGTGCACTAGCTCTGTGAATACACCGATGACAGTATGAACCCAGTCAACACGGCTGTCACAACACGTTGGTGCGAAGGGGAAAATGGTCTGAAATCTAGACAGTGAGAGGCAAGAGCTTGCCTTTGAATACTCTGAAGCTTTCTCTATGGACTGACTAATACTCAGATTTTTCCCGGGGTCTGCCTGGTGCCACTACCCATTGAAGGGGAGAGGGTGGACAAGAGCTGGAAACATCTTTCAAACAGTTAAACTGCAGTTCTGCCACTCATGAGGCTAAATAACAGTATCCCAAACATATATGTTGAGGATTATCTTACATACCCTAAAACAGTATTTACTCAGCAGTTTATATAAATGAATATAATCTATACAAATAGATGCTAATTATTACACTTTTAAATTTAAAAATGTTTGTCCTAGCCTGGATTGCTAAGTGGTTGAAGCACTGGCCTGTGCACCAGAGGGACATGGGTTCAATTCCTGGTCAAGGGCACTTACCTGGGTTGCAGGTTCAATCTTCAGCTCCAGTCAGGGTGAGTGCAGGAGGCAACCAATCGATGTCTCTCTCTCACATCAATGTGTTTTCTCTCTCCTCCTCCTCCCTCCTTCTACCCTCTCTAAAGAAATCAATGGAAAAAATATCCTCTGGTGAGGATTCACAAAAATAGATTAATTTTTAAAAATTTTATTTAAAAAATTGTTCTTACTCTACTTGATTACAATTTTAGCTCAACTTCAGTTCGGTAGATGAACAGTCAGAAAAAAGAATGACTTTTACGGGGACAGGGGATTAATCAAAGAACATATATGCATAGTCCATGGACACAAACAAACTAAAAAGAATGGCTTTATTTGAGATGGTGAGATATTTACGTGAAATGAGGCCTAAATATTTTACAATAGTGAACTACAAAGCACTACAATGACAGTTTCTGATGGGCATAAACTGTACTTGGGTTGGCAGAGGGAGAGAGTATCTGTCCAGTTTTTATGTAAATATACTTATATATAACTAGGGGCCCGGTGCACGAAATTCATGCAGGGAGGGGGGAGTCCCTCTCCAATCCGGGATCCCTCGGGGGATATCCCACAGCCAGTTTAGGCCTAGACTGGCAGTCAGACATCCCTCTCGCAATCCAGGACTGCTGACTCCTAACCACTTGCCTGCCTACCAGCTTGATCACCATCTAACCACTCCCCTGCTGGCCTGATGGCCCCCAACTGTCCTCCTCTGCCAGTCTTGTGGCTCCCAACTGCCCTCCCCTGCCAGCCTCATGGCCCCCAACTGCCCTCCCATGCTGGAATGATTGCCCCTAACCACCTCTGCCTCGGCCCCCACCACTGTGGTTTTATCTGGAAGGAAGGTAGCAAGATGTCTGGTCTCCAGGTATAATTAGCATATTACCCTTTTATTAGTATAGATTATGTAAGTAATGGCATAATTATAAAATTGTGTAAATATAAATACTGAACATAGAAAATGTGTGCTAACTTTTCTTTTTTAAAATTTTGTGGGGTTTTTAAACTTTTTTTTTAAAGTGTGCTACTTTTATTCTTCAGACATGAGGACAAGCTTCAATGAAACAAAGCTGTCAAGTTTCACAACAACCATGCTCCACTTATTTCATTTCCCATCACATACATTATAAATGCCACGGATAATGCTTATCACTTTAGGAAAAAGTTACTTACAAGAGATAGCAGCAAACTGAACAGGTCACCAACATGGTGATGATCACTCTGTAAAACAACAACAAACAACAATTAGAACCTTGCAAACTAAGCAGACACTGCAGGGTGGTTCAATCCCTTCCCAAGCAATCAAACAAGCAGGGACTGTGCACCCAGAAAATGCACCTGCATCTGTCCCAGCGCCCACACTGCACTGCACCTGGAGTGCATTTGGTAGAAGTTAGAGTAAATAATTAAACATTTGTATTTAAAGGGATATGCACTGATGCCACGCTTAGATGTCTAATCCAAACCCACCTAAAACTGAACGCAGTGACAATTCATTTGACATCCAAGGAACTACCCCATTGGGCCCTTCTACCACAAAATGACACTGCACTTCTAAAAATGTGACTCTCTAGTGTTGACCTCTCCCCGTCTCCATTCCTCTCTGAAAAAGTTAAATCTGGTGAATGTCAACACTTCTAAAACTGGCTCCATGCAATCTCTTCCCATTTCGCCTCCCAAAGGCTCCCCTCTGAATCTCCTGCTCCCCAGAAGCAGCTCTGCCATTCCACCCACCACCCCACCCTCAGAGCTGTCAACTCTTTGCTCATGCCTCCTCTGCACCCTCGGAGTCACCAACTGCTGTGGGCTAGTCCTTCTAAAGCATCCTTCCCTAGTGGGCTTCTTCCTTCCCGTTCCCACCTTAGGACGGAAATTTATCAAGTTCGTCTAGCTAACGGGTGGCACAGTCCAACTGTCTTCCTTTCCTTTCATTCTATGGGCAATCACCTTGGATTCATTGTTCTAAAGTATTCTTTTCATTGCATCACCCTGCGGCTTCACATCTCTCAGAGCCACCCCCACCCCCAAGAGTCATGTCCAAAGAAAGGTCTCCCCCCACCCTCACCTCTCCTCCCCACACACAGAGTAAGAAGGACTGTCTCCTAGAAGGCGGGAAGCAAAGATCAGAACTCCTATTGATATTTTTAACTCATGCTCTAGAAGTGCTGTGGGTGTGTGTTCTCTATGGTTATTACACTGGCACATCCATTCATTCATTCAACAGATTTTCATTGAGTGCCTGGTATGTACACGCTCTGGGCAGACAGGAGTGAAGGACACAGGAGAAACCCCTGCCCTGATGAAGTCTACATGATCGTGGGGGAGACAGACAACAAACAAGTGGAACAATAAGCAAACAAGATCGATCGATTGATTGATCTACCTACCTACTAGTATATGCCAGAGGTCAGAAATGCAGATGGAGAAAAACAAAGCAAGAAAGGAGGATAAAGGTGTACAGGGGAGTCTGAGATCAAAGTGCTATGTGTGTGTGTGTGCGCGCTCTCACACACACACACACACACACACACACACACACACACACACACACACTCATTCAGAGATAAAGCAAATGTGAATGCATAACAATTACTGGATCTACCTGGTGGCATACAGTAGTCATACTACTCTTCCTACTTTTCTGTATGTATGTCTGAAAAAGTCCTGCATGTTTGAAAAAAAAAATGAGTTGATAACTCTTGGCACATCAATTCCTGTGTCTCCTCCCCATTCCCTCCCCCAACCTACTGCTAAGGAGCCGCGTGCGGATGGCTGAAGAGGAACGAGGGAAACCCCAACAACAGGAACGGCCGGAAAGCTGATCAGGCACAGACCTGATTTCGGCCTTTTATCCTACACTTGTCAGTCACAGAAGAGAATGAGGAAGGCGCTCAGGTACACGTAGATTCAGAAGTTCTCCTTTCTGCCTTTTTTTCTCCCTGCCTCCCAGGTCCTGAAAACCTCACCACCCAATCTGCCGTCTTCTGATGTGCAGGGGTCTCCCAGGAAAGAGGATGTGTCGATAACATCCAAGTCTTCCTTCCTCTCCTCACACAGGGCACCTTTATGAATGAAGGTGCTTTACTTTACTATCTCCTTAATGAAGTTGTCTTAACGCTTCAAATCAAAAAGGCTCTCCTGGCCCTGGCTGGTTTGGCTCAGTGGATAGAGCAGGTCCCAAGTTTGATTCCGGTCAAGGACATATGCCTGGGTTGCAGGCTTAATCCCCAGAGGCGGCGGCATGCAGGAGGCAGCTGATCAATGATTCTCTCTCTTCATTGATGTTTCTCTCTCTCTCTCCCTCTTTCTTCCTCTCTGAAATACAAAAATATATATTAAAAAAGGCTCTCCTGTTTTAAAAATTCACCATAGTCCTTGAAGCAATTCATCTCCTTCATGTATTTTTAAAAATTAATTTGCAATTTTTTCAGGAGGTAAAGGAAAACCAGTACTAATTCCGTACTAACATTTCCACTTGACAATGAGGAAATGGGAATGTGGAAAAGTTAGGTAAATTGCTCAAGGTCACAGGAATCACCCAGCAGGGGCAGTGCTTCTCCAAATGGAATACAGTAACTCCGAGGAGGCTCTGTGTTTTAAAACCCGCTCAATCCTGCCAAGAGCAGGAAATATAGGATTGGGGGGGGGGGGGGGGAGGCTGTGGCTTAGACCCGGATAACATGTCACTAGCAGGTCAAACCTGAATCGTGACACTAGGGCCAGAAATGCACATGAGGTGGCATAGGCATGGAGTCCCGGGGCTGGGGGAACGGGTGGGACCCCCGTGGAGGTCTTTAAGAAAGGAGTGGTCAATGCTACCAACACATTAACAAATGCTTTTCTGCGTATGAAGGCTGCAAAGGCAGACAGTAGTGTAATGCAGTGATTTTCAACCTTTTGCATGTCATAACACATGTAAACTAGTTACTAAAATTCTTTTTTTTAAAAAAAACATATTTTATTGATTTTTTACAGAGAGGAAAAGAGAGGGATAGAGAGTTAGAAACATCGATGAGAGAGAATCATCTATCAGCTGCCTCTTGCACACACCCCACTGGGGATGTGCCCGCAACCAAGGTACATGCCCTTGACCAGAATCGAACCTGGGACCCTTCAGTCCGCAGGCCAACGCTCTATGCACTGAGCCAAACCGGTTTTGGCTAGTGACTGAAATTCTGTGGCATATATATATATATATATATATATATATATATATATATATATATCCGATCTGACAAAAATATAGGTGTAATTTTTATTTCCAAAAAATAAAAATAAATAATAGTAATTATCTACCCCTTTTGCTCCAAAATGACTTTTTTTTTTTTTAAATCAGGTGTTTGTCTAAGGATTATTGGTATCAAGAATGAGCCAATCAGATGTAACCTTATCCAACCTGACCAATAAGATGCAACTGGATTATATGACCTATATTTAGGGTTCATCACAGGGCATTCTCACCTGACGGCTATGGTTGTGTTGGCCGTTGTCATTTTTTTATTTGGCAATCCCAGGAAAAGAGGTCAGTGCCCCGGACGAAATAGTCAGCTATTCATGTTTTTAAAATGCTGTGGCACAACGGTTGACAATGGCTGGTGTAATTCATAGTTGAAGACAGAAAACTCCAGGAGGAGAAACAAGTCTAAGAACTTACATTTGGTTACTATAAACGGCCTTCATAACCCCTGAATTCTGACATTCTCGGTTTCATCTATTACTGCGTGGGAAGATGAGAGGGAGGAAGGTAAGGGGACCTGGTGGAATCTCATGTACCATTTCTCCTCCTTGCATGATGTCTTACTTTTAAATTACTTGGAAGTAACGGGTCTAATAATACACGTTTATTTAAGAGAGCAAGGAAGGGCTCAGGTCACAAAACATTATTTTCCTTTCCCTTTACTAAAGGCCATGGAATTATCCACTCAAAGAATGCTTACTGAATGCTTGCTCTGCAGGCAAAGCACTGGGAAGCCACCAGTTAATTTCAGAGGAAAATGGTGCTCCTGACAAACGGTGACTTCAGTCTAAGTTTCACCCCACATGATCTTGCCGAGAAAAAATGACTCAGAGGCAAAAGAGGAACAAAAAGGCAAAAAAAAAAAAAAAAAGTGTGCTAAGGCTCCTTTGAAGATAAGCCTCTATTTCATACAATAAAAGTTTACTTACCACACAGGTTAAGCTCTATTGGACATGGGGAGTGTATTTCTCAACCCATCACCCTAAGAACTTGCTTCTCACACGCAAGGTCGCGGGGAGCGCCCTGCAGAAGGCATGACGCAGGGTTTCTGCACCATCAAGCCGCCTGCCCTCCGGCCGGAGCCTCGCTGCGGCCGGGCCCGGCTCCCCCCGGCGGCCCGGGCCCGACTCCCCCCGGCTCCGCCCGGCTCCCTCCGGCGGCCCGGGCCCGGCTCCCCCCGGCTCCGCCCGGCTCCCTCCGGCTCCCTCCGGCGCCCGCGGGAGGCGAGGCCTGGGCTGCACGTCGCGGCTCAGCCCGCCCTGCGCGACTGCGACGCCGGCGTGCGAAGTGCAAGGGCGACGTCTGCCTCCCTGGCCTGACCCCTTCCCGGAGGCGAACGAGGCCTCGTCTGGGCGGAGCGCGGCAGCCCGAGCCCCAACTCCTTCCTGGGTCGGTGTGAACCCGTTTCCGACATCCGCCCGCCCGCCCGCCCACCCAGGACGGGACGAGAGAGAAAATCCCCCTGAAACTCACCCCCACGCATGGCCCGCTGGAGGCCACCCTCCGCGCGATGCGGCCGGGAGTCCCCGGCGCGGCCAGCCCGGGGTCAGGGCCGCCCCGCGAGGCCTCCCGCGCCGGCCGCCCGCCCTCTCCCCTCCCCCTCCCGCCGCCGCTCCCGGCCGCGCGCCCCCTCCGCCGGCGGCCCGGCGCCCGCACTCACCCCCGGTTGGGACCCTTGGGGATGAACCAGGGCACCAGGAGGCCCACGACGCTCCAGAACACGCTCATCACGATCAGCGGCACCGTGAGGCCGCTGTACGCCATGGTGGCCGCCCGCCGCCAGCCCCTGCCCCGCCGCCGCCGCCGCGCTCGGGTCCCACCCGGAAGTGTCAACACCCGGCCGCGTGACCAGCGCGCGCAGGGCCCGCCCCCCGCGTCCTCACGTGACCCGCGCGCCGGCTCCGCCCCTCGGGGGGTCTGGAGAGACAGGCTCCGCCCCCACCTGGCGGAGGGATGTCACTCACCCGAGGGTCAAGCCACCAGGATCTCGGCAAGATAGTTCTCCTGAACGCGGCCCTTTTAGGAAAAGAGTGGGGTTGCATATTGACAACTTTATCTTCTTTTAGTATTAATATGTTTTTATTGGTTTCAGAGAGAGGGAGAGAGAGGGAAACATCATTGATGAGAGAGAATCATTGATGGGCTGCCTCCTGCACGCCCCCCCCACAACTCCCAGGAATCCATCCGTGACCTCCTGGTTCACAGGTTGACACTCAACTACTGAGCCACCCAGGCCAGGCTTTATCTTCTTTTTATATAACAAACTTCAACAATCGTAAGTTACCGTTAAAACCCATACATTCCTGTCTGAGCTGTAACTTGGAAACATCACGAAACTCGTTGTAAGCACCTCACTAGAGCCTATGAGGGAGTTTCAGTAAATCCCCACTTTGCTCAGGGAAGAGGATCAGGATCTTGCTCAAAGCCACAAAGCTGGTAAGAGGCTGAGCCAGGATTCAACTTCTCATGGTGTGATATTCAAAGTCAGTGCTTTTTTCTTAAAAATCCTCATCTGAGGATATGTTCATTGATTTGAGAGAAAGAGAGAGAGAGAGAGAGAGAGAGAGAGAGAGAGAGAGAGACACCCACCTATATGTGCCCGGATCGGGGATCAAACTCACAACCTTTTATTGTACAGGACAAGGCTTCAACCAACTGAGCCACTGGCCAGGGCAAAGCCAATGCTCTTACACTGCATTATTGTGCGTCTTGTGCACCGTGTAAGGTTCTGGGGTTCAATCAGAACCCCCTCCGGCAGTTCACAGGCTGGTGAGGAGATGGACTTGCCAGGGCCACTCAGTGGCAGTGGAAGGTACAGTGGACAGCAGTGCCGGACTTCCCACCCCAGCCAGTCCCGAGCTGAGCCTTACAAGAGGAGTAGGGATTAGCCAAGATAACGAGAAGATGAACCTGGAGTTTCTAATGCTTGCCACAGATTCTCACGTGTTCATTACAGCATGCCACAACCTTGGCACAAGGAGTAAACCAATTCTCAGAGAGGTTACGGAGCTTGATAAAGCTCATGGGCAGAGGCGAGAAGGAAAGCAGATCTATAAACCAAGCCCTTTCCCTGCAAGTCACACTTCCGCCCCTCACCTCACTTCCTGATTTCTTCCTTCATCAACTAGAATGGATTCTTGAGTTAAATGGGAAGTTGGACCGACAGTCTTTAATTCTGTACCAACTCTTCAGACATGATGCCAAGCCTTTATCTTCTCCCCGAAAACTCAGCCTCGGGAGACATTCTGTTGTCCTTAAGTTCCAGTCCAAGCACCTCCTTCTCCAACACCCATTTCATTCTGTCCGTGCACCTTCTGTGGCATTGTACTTGATTGTGTGTGTTTTTTAAATTAAAAATACATTTGTATTGATTTCATAGAGAAAGAGAGAGACACATCAGTGGTCCACCTGCACGCCCCCCTCCTGGGGATCAAACCCACAACCCGGGCATGTGACTTTGACTGGAGTCGAACCCAGTACCCTTTGGTCCATAGGCTGGCAACCTACCCACTTGAGCCAAACCAGCTATTGCTATGTGTGTAACTTAACCAACCCTCTAAAAGAGGGCAAACTCCTTGAGAGCAGGCACTGTTTAACGGATCTATGCCCTTAGGGACACTTTATACATAGAATGAGCTTAAGTACAACTGAATTGAATAGTGAAGAAGAGGTGAGATCAGCCAAAACTAAATTAGAGAAAAAAGCAGGCTACTTCCCATTTCCTTCCTTAAAACTTACTCAATTATTTATTCATTTATTTTTAATTGAATTTATTGGGGTGGCATTGGCTAATAAAATTACATAGTTTTAGGTATACAGTTCTTGTACAATTCTATAACACATCAACTGTATAACGTGTATTCACCACTCCAAGTCAAATCTCTGGATTTATTTTTAATTGTGGTGAAATATATGTAACGTAAAACTGACTGTCATAGTTTGAAGTGTACAGTTCAGTGGTGTTCAGTCTATTCACCTTGTTGTGCTCACAATCTCCAGAAGTTTTCACACCCATTTAACAGCTCCCCGTTCCCCATTCCCCTCCCTGAGCCCTGGCAACCGCTATCCTAATTTTCATTTCTGTAAGTGTGACTCCTCTAGACGCCTGATTAAGTGGAATCATATTGCATTTGTCTTAACACACATCTGGCATAAGATGCTTAGCGTAAGGTCCTGACGTTTCACCCGTGTGCAGCCCAGGTCACAGCGCTGAATAACATTCCACTGCTGTGTCTGGACCATATTGGTTTCTCCACTCACCTGTCAATGGATGTTTGGGTTGCTTTCACTTTTTGACTATTGTTAATTTTTTTTCCTGTTTCTTAAGTCGATGCAAATATATATATTTTTAAATTGATCTCATTAAGCCTGTGTCTTCCTTTTTTGGCAGCCTTTTTGAGATGTCAAGGAGCACAGGGAAGTAAGTGACTGTCAGATACCAGTTCTGTCCACTTTATCCTCTGTAAATGAGAAAAATTCTTAATCTCGGCATCATATTTGTGATCTAGCATTGGCCAATAGCTCCCTCTACCAGCGAATCTGTCAAAAACACTGTATCACACCATCTAAAGAGAAAGCCAGCCAGGATTTAGCCACGGAGTCACAAGGCTCCTCCTAAGCTGACCTGGAAGGCCAGAAGTTACAGGAGAAGCTGAAGGCCCAGCATGCTTCACTTCTCATTTGCTCAGCACATATGTACGGAGTATGTGCTATGGGCAGCCACCAATGATTACAGCATCTACTATGTGAGTGACACTCATGTGCCATTGAACAAGGTGTTTTGAATTACCTGCCTCACTCAGTGCTTACAACACATAACATAGAGATTATGAAGTCCATTTTACATAATAGGGAAAGAGACTCATATTTGTAACTCACCCAAAGGTTGGCTGTTTTTTTTATTTTGCTTTTAATTTTTAAAAAATACATTCTATTGATGTTTTATAGAGAGGACGGGAGAGGGATAGAGTTAGAAACATCGATGAGAGAGAAACATCAATCAGCTGCCTCCTGCACACCCCATACTGGGGACGTAGCAGCAACCAAGGTACATGCCCTTGACCTGAATTGAACCTGAGACCCTGGAGTCCACAGGCCGATGCTTTATCCATTGAGCCAAACCGGTTAGGGCAGAGTGGCTGTTTTAAATGGCAGACTGAGATCTGAATGTGAACCTTCATAGCTCCTGTTCTTCCCACTAAGCCATGCTGCCCCTCCTAGTTCAGAGAAAATCAGCAAAAACCCCTAAAGCACACACTTCTTAGCAAGATAGAGACCTTTACTGCATGAGACCTCTGAACCCTGTTCCAGATTTAGAACGTGCTTCATTCTATTATTTCCAATGGACAAAGAATATTTGTGTGTGTATACACACACACACACACACACACACACACACACACACACACACAGATTATTCCAACCACCTGGCGTTTGTAGGTACATTAGCCGTACACTGCATTGTATGGGATATGGAAGCCGAAGGCCTGTTCGAACACCTTTGCTGTCTGCAGTTACCAAGATAAAACGTCTCTAATTCACTCGGGAACACAAGGATTGGACAACCGAGCATTGGAAAAAGTCATGTGGTCCGATGAATCACGTTTCCAGTTGCATCATGCAGATGGCAGTGAGAATTTCGTGGAAACAGCATGAAAGCATGCCCCTCACATGCATGAGAACAACCCTTCAAGCTGGTGGGGACAGTGTTATGGTTTGGGGCATGCTTTCCTAGCATGATTTGGCCCCTTTAATTCATGTGAACAACGTCTGAATAGCACAACATACCTAAGTTATCATTGCTGATCAAGTCCATCCTATCATGTTGATGGCGTATCCCAATGGAGATGGCTTCTTCCAACAAGACAATGTGCCAGGCCACGGGGCTTGTATTGTGCAGGGGTGGTTTCAAGAACATGAGGGAGACTTTATCTTGCTTAGGTGGCCCCCACAATCACCAGATCTCAATCCAATTGAGCATTTGTGGGACGAAGTTAAAAGAGCCATCAGGCAGCTGGTTCCACAACCATCCAGTCTCACAGACTGGACAGTGCTATCCATCAGGCATGGTGTCAGGTTCCTTGCATCACCTTTCAGCATCTTGTGGAGTCAATGCCAAGAAGAATTGCTGCAGTATTGAAGGCAAAAAATGGCCCAAGTACTGATGGGGCGGTCATAATACTCTGGCCACTCAGAGTGTGTGTGTGTGTGTGTGTGTGTGTGTGTGTGTTTGTGGTGAGAGGAAGAGAAACATCGATGTGAATTGATTTGAGATCACAGATTGGCTGCCCCTTACCTCCCACCCCTGCACATGCTCCTGGACCACGGATCAAAGCTGCATGTGTCCCGATCAGGGATCAAAACCGCCACCTTTTGTCGAACAGGATGATACTTCAACCAACTGAGCCACACTGGCCAGGGCTGCTGTTTCCATTTTAATTAAGGCGTTCAGGCAATAAATCAACCTCACACCGCTGCTTCAATCTGGATGGCCTAGCTTTCTCATCAGACTTCTTCCCAGATCAAACTTTTAGTCAACACCCAATTGTGTTTACTAAAAGCACAGGCTACTTCTGGAGGATGCAAAAGGCACTGGAAACTGGCTCCTCCTGGGGAGATGTGAGTGCCTGAGAGTCAGAGTGACAAGGAAGCTTACTTCTCACCATATGCCTTCTGTACCTTTTTTTAAAATATATTTTATTGATTTTTTACAGAAAGGAAGGGAGAGAGATCGAGAGCTAGAAACGTCGATGAGAGAGAAACAT